TATGGATAGTTTCTTATAAGAATCATACCTAGTTGTTGACCAGAGTGCAAAAACTATACTCTATATCAGAATAAAATGGCCAAAATCTGTACCTAAATTCAGACGGAAACTGCTCAAAAAGCAAACCCTTTGAGGCTACACTTACCTATACAGCTCATAAAAGGGAGTGCCTCCCCCCCCGGACTACGACACTATATATTAAAATCGCAATCTGAATTCCCCACTTTATGTTTTAAGAGAGAAAGAAAACGGGTGGTTTGTAGTAGTTTTGCTTAATGAATAGAACAGAATGAATGTGCTGAGGTTCTAATTCTTATGCTACTAATTTCAACACAACTTTTTTGTATTACGTTGTATGGTTTAAACAATTGTATGATATAATGTTTAATCGACAAATACAGCTTTATATTCTGCTGTTTAGAATTGCTACTGGCCAGAAAACTTTCAGAGAACTAGCCTAGAAACGACTTTTAAACTGCGAATTGTTGACAAATTTTAAGAAGTGTATCTTTTTAATGGAAATCTACGAAGTAATCTTGTAAATATTTTTATCACTTTCAATTTCTTGTGATTAGCTATTGTAAAATTTTAAATTTCTTTTAAAAGTTCATTGTGCGTGAAAAGTCCCTCTATCTTGGGTGCTTCAATTAAGTGTGTATGTATGAAAAATAAAAGAAGATTGATATGTCAGGAAGTATGTTAGGGTATTTACCAAAGCAAGGTGAACACTGCTAGATGGAAGCTGAATCAAATCAAATGTTACTCACCACTATTTCCCTTTCGCAACGAGAAGAAAAATGATACAAAAGTCTGTAACAGCGCGTTGGATCACAACAAGGACTCTGTCTGCAAGATAACAGAAGAATCATCACGGCCTTGTTCATTATTCTATTCCATGCTTTGACTAGCTTTCTGATGAGAACGAGATCCAAATCCCTCATTTTTATTAAGACAAATTTTCCGTTTAGCACCCATCCAGGAGATAGGGCTATTACATTTCTGTTCCAGTACATCTACTGTGATTTTCCTCTAGTTTTATTTAATGTATGGCACATTTTACCATGCCTAACATCTCAATGCCTATTAGTCAGTTATCTTGACGAGTTTATACTTCTCAGTGGTCAATTGCAATTTATAAATGTCACTAATTTCTGTGTTCATGTCATGGTAAAGCTTATCTTAAATTTAAAACAGTTTTCGTCGGTTCCTTAGTTCAAAATACAATTATGGTATCCTTACTGTACTTACCTTTGGAAGAAGAAAGTCAAATCAGAATGACTCTAGCAGCTAAAACGGACTCTCNGTGGCGACATGCGCGCGCTGATGTTGAACGCGCTCGATCTGGGCATGTTGAATGGCGACTTCGCGTTTCTCACAGTGAACCTGCTGCCGTCCGCCGCCGTCGGAAATAACACGTTTATGGGAAACGACGGGCGCGACGCCGAGGCCGCCTTGGCGTTTCGTGGAATTCTGAGCGTCCACGTGCGCGAACCGACCACACCCTTATGGCAATCATTCAAACAGAAAGTGCGGGAAAAGATGAATGCGTCCCCTTTCTATATACAGCTGGATAAAAGTGAACAGGTACGTAGCACGGGGCTATTCACCCCATTTCTTAAATGTATACAATCGAACCCCCACCTGTCTACAACGGCCACTCTTTCTTGTCCCGGCGGCCGTTCACTCTTATTTGGCCTCGCTATAACCGCAACGGCGACTAAAACTCGTTTCAACTGCCATAATAACCTCTCAACAATTAACAGCCAGTTAATCAATGACTGACGAACCGCGCGTCGTTGGTCTCTGTTTCTGTTAAGTTTCTGCCTTTTCGATACATTTTGATTTATATATGTTAAAATAAGCATAGGGAAATCTCTCTATCACAAGGAATTATTCGCAAACTGAATTTATGCCAAGCTGATAGCAAAATCAATAAAGACTTGGGCTCTGATAGCAGCGTTAGAAAGAATGACATCTAAGGAGATTAATGCAAATAATTAGGAAGGAAATCTCCGTACTGTTTACCAACAGGTTGAAGTTTATGCTGGTGCTATATACGATGCCATTTATCTGTACGCTAACGCGCTCAATGAAACTCTTGCCGGCGGGAGCAGTAAACGGGACGGCCGAGCGATTGTCAAGAGAATGTTGAACAGAGAGTTTGAAGGTAAGGCAAATGAAGAGCACGCCCTACGGAGGCTGAATAAGAACACGCCCTCCACAAGTACAATTCCAGCCGGGAGTCATATGCATATGCCGTAAATTTCCGAAATTATCGACCCTCGTTACTTTCGGAATTAGCAGCCCTCGGGTCTCGTTACTTTCGGGGGGCTGCTACTTTCAGGGAATCGTTACTTTCGGGGAGCAAAAAAACCGTTATAAAGTTGGTGCGGTTGAGTGTTTTTTTTCGCAATAAGAAACGTAAATTCGTAAAACCAGCCCTGAAAACATGAGATGAATTTCTTCGTTCTAGTTTAAATTTATGTTGCTGCGACATGCATGAGGAGCTCTTTATGTGCAGATTGTGTTTTTGGTCGACAGGAAAGCTAGTAAGCGCACTGATACGTTTATCTGCTGTATCATTATCTCTGCGCGCTGGTCGAGTTTTCACTACTTCGCGACTGTTGAACATGGCGCAGACGTTTCAATTACCATTTGAACAAGTTTCCTGTAAGTACGTTCTGGTTGCTTGAGGAAAGTTTTACGGTTTTTGCTTGAAAATAGCGCAACATGAACGGATGAAGCACGAAGTGGCATTTTGCACTTCTTGGCATAATTAAGGGATACCTTCCCTTGTGGTCGAGTGCCGTAATTATAATTATCAACTGTACTACCGGACATAACTTTCCCTTGACTATTGATTAGACATGTAAATATCCTTTTGAACCTTTGTCACGTTATTTTAGGGGTTGGGGGTTGAGGTGGGCTTGCTACTTTTTTGGGCGGGGGTCGCTACCTTCGCGGGGGGGGGGGGTCGTTACTTTCGGAAGTTTACGGTATGTAAATTAAAGAAACTCTGTCACGGCTTTTTGAGTTATTTTGCCCACGTTCAAAATTGACTTTAAATCGAAGGAAACTTAACAATAGTAGTTTCCTAAGATAGAAAAACGCATTAGAGCTAGTAATTAACCAAAGAGGAACCATGATGGTTAAGGATGGAGAAGATTGACACGGATTACAAACAATGAACTTGAAAATTTAAGCTTAACTTTTCAAGATGAACAAACCGTGATGTAGCTCATTTAAGGTGGTGTGAATGTAGATAGAAGTGACCTGCGTTGTTATAACTAGTGTCTTTTTCTTGCTAGGAGCTTCTGGTAAGGTGCGTATAGACAGCTCCGGGGACAGAGAACCTGACTATTCACTCAAGTATTACGTGAATGGCAGCTTTCAAAACATCGCTGATTACAGTCACTCAACCGGAGGCTTCAATCTAAGAGGTAGGTACACTTACATCACAAGCTCAGTCTTCAAATTCTCCTCACTCTCAGCACACATTTCCTATAACACTCTTGAGAGAATTTGTTTTTTAGTCCAAACTGTTTTCTCCAGTCCCATAACTTATAAACTATAAGAATGAATTCTGTTGTATAGGCCATTGTACAGTTGTGTGCTTAGTTGCCTGGCCCATGAATACAAGCGAGGCTGAAGGTGACCTATCTGCTCTTCTCATTCAATCCATTGCATCCTGAGCAGGCATATACACGTACTTATTGGTCGTGCTCTTTGTACCACTTGTGACGTCGTCAATTTAAATGTCACCAGATATTCTTGGTAAGCAGACAGTAGAGCTCGGATAGATCTATTCGCACAACAGTCGGTTTTGGATATCGACGGCATTCAGACGTAGCAAATTGAAAACCAAGGTTATCGGTTTTGGTGCAAAAATGGTTTTAAAATGGCCTGTTATACCTATAATTGATCAAGGTCCCATTTCCAGGTTTTGGCTATAAATTACACCCGGTCCAACTTTTTACGGCAGCCAGACAAAAGCTTTATTTGTATTCAGCTAGAGATTAAATGAACAAAACTAAGTTAAAACAAAAACAGTACATGGCTGCCCGAAATAACCTTAATGGGCTAATAAGACTGGGCAGCCATCCTTAGTGATTTAAAGCAATTATTCATTTGGGTCAAATAAGAAGAAAGAAAATGAAGCGCAAAAGGTAGCGAGAGTAACAACGGCCGAGAGAAAGGAAAGAAAAAGGGCAAGAAAAAACATTCGGAACAGGCAATCGCATGCACCAACTTAAAATATTGTACGTTTTTGTAACGTTTTTTGTACGTTTTTGTAACTTATCTTCGGGAAATTGATCTTTTTGGTAAGAAAATAGTAGTTTTTTCACCAAAACTAAGGCCCATTTAGTGTCATGGCAGCCAAAAACTGATTTCATGGTTAAAAACGGCATTTTTCTTGTGAAACTTTCGGTTTTAAAGGGTTAAATGCGAACTCGTTAGCATTAGGACAACTTGACTCACAAAACAGAAGCAGTGAAGCCTATCAAAACAAGGTCGCCTCCAGCCTCGTTGCCATTCAAAGGCCAGGTCACTGAGCGGACAACTCCAAAATGGTCTATTTCAACCGTAGACTTTTGTTTCATCTCATTTCCTTTGCAGATGTAAGCGTCATTTGGGCCGGGGGTCGTACCAGTCCACCCTCGGACAAACCTAGATGTGGCTGGGATAAAGAACTGTGTTTGGAGGAGGAAAAGATAGGTGAGATTGTGGCATTCACTCCAAAAGAAACTAAATTTTCTTCCTGTTACACTTTGCTGACGATACTGAGGCAAAGTGTTGTTGAAAACCTAGAACATGTCTCTTACGTTGGCATGGCAACTCATTTTGACGCTCAATACACGTCTTTTTGCTCGCTTGTAGAACCTATCCAAAATTTATGCTAAGTGTTATTCATCAACGTTATTGAATGAACAGAATGCAAACAAAGGAAGTGTTGTGACCCACAAATGCACATTACTATATTCATGATCATGTGTTCTGGTCAGTTGTTCTTTTGTGTTCCAGCCGCACGACTCGTTAACGTGGTTATAGGGGCCTCCACCTCTGGCGTTCTTGTGTTAGCTTTCTTGTTCTTCGTAATTATCAGGTACAGTATTAAAAAGTACTCACATTAAAGCGTGATTAAAGGGGCTAGGTCAAGCTGTGTTACGTAATTTTGTTTAGTTTTGTTCATTATGACCTCTAAACGTCAAATTGGCGGAGCAAAAGTCTTTCATTTGCAAAATCACCGCCACATAACAACTGAGAATGACTTTCCAGCTGTGTAAATGACATTTTGATATAAACTGATATAAATTTTAAAAAAGCTGGGCGGACGTTTTTCAAATTTACCCAAATGCAATGCATTTTAATCCTCTCCAGTTTTGTCCATCCATGTCCCTTCTTGGCTTTCCTGTGTTTTGCTTGAGATCCTTTATAGTTTTAAGCCGTTTTTGTGATATTTTAGCTACTTCTATGACCATTTGATCAGTGCTGAAATTGCCTAAAATTGCGTGACCTAACCCCTTTAAACATTTTATCTGGAAAGGCAGTAGCAAAATGACACATTCTTGTAAGTATGTAAGTATTCAAGTAAGATGACTTATTTTACGTTGCCTAGGAACGTTATGGTAATCTTAAGCTGTGGTACATTAACGTGGAAGTTCATAATTATTTTGACATCCTGAAGACGATTTTGAGAACGAGGGTTTTATCCGTGTCACCTAATCAAATGCAAATCTGTTTGATAACTGGCCCTTTTCCGATAACTTATTTCAGAAAACTCTGTTATGAGACGGATCTGGCTGAAAACATGGCGTGGAAGATCCGGTTTGAAGATATCAAAATGAAAGAACAAGGCAGACAAGAAGAGGATAGGCCACAGCAGCAGGGAATGCTTTCTTTTAAGTTTAACTATCTGATCGGACAGAATCTGGTAGGATAAACCAACTTTATTACATCTTGTTAACGTTGCTTTTGGATTTACCTTTTAAGTAATTTTGATTTCGCTTGAGGGCTTGAACGATCGTGCAACACTAATACTTCATCCATTATCTTTTCTCACGGTAAAGGCCATTAACTTGTTTCGCTAGTTTGTCACAAGAAGAACGTTTTGCCGCGCTTGGCGCAAGTTGAACCTTATTGCCGCGCTTGGCAGCGGTTGAATGTTTTTCCGCGCTTGGCACAGGTTTAACCTTTTCCCGCGCTCGGCACAAGTTTAACGTTTTCCCGCCTTCTGCATGGGCTTAAACCTTTCCCTTGCTTGGCACAGGTTTAACTTAAACTTTCTCGCGCTTAGGATAAGTTGAACCTTGTAGCCGCGCTTGGCAGCTCTTGAACGTTTTCTCGCCCTCGGTAAAGGTTTGACATTTTTCCGCCCTTGGCACGGAGTTAAAGTTCTTCCGCGCTCGGCACAGGATTAACGTTTTCCCGCGCTTGGCACAGGTTGAACGTTTTCCCGCCGTTGGCACAGGTTAAACGTTTTCCCGCCCTTGCCAAAGGTTTAACGTTTTCCCGCCCTTGGCACGGGGTTAAAGTTTTTCCGCGCTCGGCCCAGGTTTATCGTTTTTCCGCCCTTGCCACAGGTTGAACGTTTTCCCGCCCTTGGCACAGGTTGAACGTTTTCCCGCCTTTGGTACAGGTTGAGTGTTTTCCCGCCCTTGGCACAGGTTTAATGTTTTCCCGCCTTCGACACAGGTTGAACGTTTTCCCACCCTTGGCACAGGTTGAACGTTACAGGTTAAGCGTTTTCCCGCGCCTCCGTCATATTGATTCCTAATTGCCTACTCTTGTTTCAAGCCGACCACTTTAACGCACGTTTTCTATGTTTGCCATTGGATAGAAATGACTATTTTTAAGCTTAACCTGCACGCTTAACCCATACCTATAAAGGAGTGTACTGTTTCTTGTTCCTTCCCCAGTCTGCAGGGCCGTCAAATGCGCTCTCTAATCCCGTACGTCGAAGCGCTGATATATCTTCAACCACATCAGACCATGAGCACAACTCAGAGCACGTGTCTACTAACATCGGGGAGTATCATGTAGGTGTATAACTAGTGTTTAACTATTTTGGGCCCGTATTTGGAAAACATTGGTTCAGAAGAACTTCGCTTTTTGAAACTGAATTATTTTTGAACTCCCTGCTATCTCAAAATCAAATTATTTTTCCTAAAATAAACATTTTATTCAGTTACTATCGGCTTTCTCTAACTCTTGTTATCTCGAATTTCCAACGTTTTTTAATTTCCTTTGAGGGCTCGAGATAGTGGGATTCAAGTGTAGCTTTTATGGTCCGAGCCGAAGGCGAAGTTCATAGAAAAACTTACACAACAGAAACAAAACGAATCTTTCTTTTGCAGGTTCTGTTTTTGGCGTCAAACCAGCTATCTAACTGACATTACTCAAAAAAGTTTTTCTTGAATAGAAAGCAGTTTTCATTGAGTTTGTAAAGCGTGTCAAAAAAGCCAAATGGCAATGATCTTTAGAAGCTGCAAACAAATTTTCGGAGACGTTCGCATTACAACTAGACGATCTTTGTAAATCCTTAGAAACTTGCAGCAAATAATCCGAGACTTCATACTTGTTATTTGCTATGAAATAAACGAAATAGTATTTCTCCCTTCGAGTTCAACTCGAGTTAAATATTGGAATAATAATTTCAAATCTCCGCAGGTAGCCACTGTTGATCAAGTTGTTTGCATAGTCGTTTATGTTTGCATCCAAATAAACTGGTGAATTAATCGAAAAAGCTTTTTAATTTCAGGGGCAAGAAGTGGCCATAAGCCGCCTCAGGAAAAGAAGTGTTCAGCTAACGAGAGAGGTTCTTATAGAACTCAAACAGGTAATCTCCGTAGTAACGAATTAAGATAAGCTCAAAGACGGGGGGATAAAAGGAAAATGTGGCATTTTAGAGAGCAGGGACAGCTTGAACATCGACAAAAACGGCGTTCATGAAAAGGTACTCCTAAAAGTTTAAGCCTAATTTATGCGTCGCATTTCCAACGTGTCGAGTTTAATTCAGCTAAGTGCGGCAGAAATGCGACTGTTGATTCATACGTCGCAATTAATATTGTCGGGTATGTCGGTCAGCGGAAAATGTTTTAAACGTAGAGTATTCAATATGGCGGACGAAGAGACTAAGCTACGAAAGACTTAAATTTTGCGAAAAATTGTCCGCCAAGGAGAAAGAGAAGGCTAACAATGCAGCAGTATGTGTTGCAATATTTTTAGGTTAAAACTCCAATTTGTCCTTGCAATTGTAAAGAAGTCGTCTGAGCAGATGGCATTTAGCATATCAGCAACGAGAATATCGAGCCACTGCGCTTTCCTGATGCCAGGTAGTATTGGGACGAGAATGGACAAGTTTCTTCTTTTTCTTTGGGGGGATCAAATTTACGCATGCTCAATACATTAACATAACGTATCCAATCTCGTTCCCAGAGTCTTCGTTTCCCTTGACCAGCGGTCGGAAAACGACAGCTCTGGGAGCAACCATTTCGGGCGTGCGCCATAGATGCAGACTGCGCAGTCAAACCGGATGGGTAGAATTCGGTTATTTCAAAATGGTTGCTGCCAGAGCTCTCGTTTTCCGATTGCTGGTCAAGGGGAACGAAGACTCAGGGAACGAGATTGTAACGTATCATAATGTAAGTATTAGATTCGACGCGGCAGAAATTCGACGTTTCAATCGGTGTCGCATTTCTGTCGGATAATGCGACAAGACCAGTCGAACGGGCGGCAGAAATGCGGCAACCGATTCAGTGGTCGAATTTCTGTCGAATTTAATTCGTTGAATTGAATTCTATACGGCAGAAATGCGACTAACCTGGCCTTAGCAGACAAAGGCATTACTGCAACGTCAATTAAAATGAATATTAATAAAACCTTGATTATATAATTATTATTTTGCAAAGGTTCGGGATCTGAGCCACGAGAATTTCAACCCTTTCATTGGAGCGTGTATCGAGTCACCANATGAATATTAATAAAACCTTGATTATATAATTATTATTTTGCAAAGGTTCGGGATCTGAGCCACGAGAATTTCAACCCTTTCATTGGAGCGTGTATCGAGTCACCACACATTCTGCTCGTGTGGTCTTACTGCAAGAAGAGAAGCCTCCAGGTTTGTAATCTCTATGTGTGTTCGCACAAGCTGGTTACCCATTACGCAGACGCTCTTTGCGCTCGTCATGCAATCCTCCTCCGTTCGTAAGGAACGAGGATTGCATGACGAGCCCATAGAGCTTCTGCGTAGGAAGTTAGTTACTTTGTTTGTCTGTTAGTAAAAACGTGTTCCTTTTATACCAGCATATATGTCCGCATGGGTTTGATGTAGACTGCGAGTAGTCCCTCTTTCGCTTAGTCCGTCGTGCGGGACGCGAAAGAAAACCGCGAGAAAAAAATGGCAGCGCGAGCTCCTAGAGACCAGGAAGAACGCCCACTTGATTCCACGGGGCCATGTTTACCTCGCAGCTCGACGGACTAAGCGAAAGAGGGACCACGCGTTGTCTAGGTTTGATACCAATACGTATCTAAGTACAAGTTCATTACTCATGAATGTTACCTTAAGGTTTTGTTACCCTTATGCGCGCTTGGTTTATACCCACTTACGTTGCTTTGTGTTTATATTGTTCGTTTATTCGCATGCTACCCTGTGATCAGGCTCAGCGCGTGCAACTGAAAAGAGAGGAAAGACATCTCCCTTCATACTTTTTCCCCACGATGAGCCTGCTCGCAGACTACGGTCAAGAACGGAAATAATGGCCCAAAATAAGGGGTTGTATTGACCAGGCATGAGGTGAAGATGGTAGCGGATCCTGGCCAAGTTCTTTTTTGTACGTTTATATGTCGAGGTCTTGAAATACGTAAAAAATAACCTGCCTGACCGAACAAGCTTGACCCAAAAGGATTTATCATATGGCATTAAGAACATTATTTTCTTGCTGGAAAGAGGTCATTCCGAGTGGGTTTCCTCTTACCCGCTCAGATAGCCAGTCACAGCGCAGGGGGAAAATTTAACGCACTTTTTTCGCCATTTCCGCGCTTCAACGCTAGCGCCCGAAATGAAATATATAGTAGCTTTTGTTCACCGTATCCAGGTGAAGAATAAATAGATACGCAGGTTTTAATCCCTCCAACCCTACCTCTTGTAGTCAAATGCCAGTGAAGCAAAAAAATCAACTAAAGGTAAAAGAAAATTCAACGTGGAAAACTGTTGACACTCAGTCTAAGCAATACAATCAATCAATCAATCAAACTTTATTTAGAGAGGGTTTACACTAAATATAATACAACTAATTAACTTGTGGCCCCCTTAGCTAACTACATCAACCTGAATTTGAAGAAAAAATAAATGAAGCTAAATAGCTGCCTGAGCGAATTCGGAAAGTTGGCGTCTTGGGCGTTCGCCCTTCCATCGTCAAGGCAAAACAGCCATAATAACTGGATCTTGCTACCATAAAGGAAGGGGCAACGCTCGAAGTTTCAACTTTATATAGTGTTAGTATGTAGCTAGAGCAGTTACTTAACTTTCATCAACTTTTCTCCATATGCAAGCTTCAAGTACCACTTTAATTTAGTCGAACTATTTATAAAGCTAACTGTTAACCTTTACTGGTAAACAACAAATTAGATTTTAAATTCCACTGGTCTTAATCTTACGCATGGTGTTCGACAAAGATTTAAATATGCTGTTTATACTCTTTCCATTTCTTAGGTTAATTCGGCACACTTCATGTTTGATAAAATTTCAAATTGCAGCTATTTGTAAAGCTCTTTAACCTGGTAAAAAAGCCCTGATATATGAAAATACTAACAAAACCTAGATATCCTGTATAAAGTTTGTTCAGAACTGTAACAACGACGGAGAGAATGCATGTTGTTTCTTAAAAATCCTACTTTCTTCAGGTTACGTCAACAATTACTACTGAGTGTCAGCGTGTTTTGGTTTTGTCTTCTTTTTTCTCACGAACAATTTTTACAAATTTAACAAGTCTCCTTGGTAAAACACTAGGTTTTTTAGTCAAGCCTCAGTCTAGTATTACAGTGGTTATTTTTCCTCGCAGAGAAGATCCAGAACAGTTCCTATCAGCTAGCATCGAAAAGTGCGATACCAAAATAACATTGCGCACTAAGGTTTTCCAGTTTAAACAGTTATTTGAGTCCAATACTCATTTCCGATTAACTCTCAAATCTTCTTTTGCTAAAAAAAAAACTGGTAACCTCTAGACAAATGATTGGATACTTGCAAGGGAAGCAACGGCTTATTCTAAAAAGTGAATATTTAACAAAACTTATGGGACAGGTTGTTCGAAAGTCGGTTTACTGTAACCCAGGTTTAANCGGTCAAAACCCTTTCTTGACGGTCCTATGAGACCTCGAGGTAAAATAAATGCTGTAACTACACCCTTCGCGTCGGTTGGTGTAAACATTTTGAAAAGGGCTTATGCAAAATTCCCAACATCAGTGAAATCGCAGTTTACATAGATTGTACCTTGTCGTTGACCAGAATGCACAAAACATTCCCTACGTCAGACCAAAACAGCCATTATTTATACTCTGTTTCAGACTAAAACTTTAGAAAATCATACTCTTTGGCGACCCAAATACCGGGGGGAAAAGGTACTCCCTTATACGGGCTATATAGGTATCTGCGGCCTCAAAGGGTAGGGTTTTTCAGCCGTTTTGGTCATACAAAAAAAAGTAAATAGGTTATCGATTTTGGCCATTTTGGTCTTAAATAGGGTATGGTTTTAGCACTCTAGTCTTGAATTGGTCATGTTTCTTAGAAGAAGCTACTTTTTCATTATTATCAATAAGACCGTCAAAAAAAGCCCTTCATAACTTATGTTTAGGGCAACTGTGTCAACTACAGAGGTCATAAATAGGTTATCGAATTTTTGGCCAGGTCATCAATAGGGTAGCAAAAATTGCAGATTTTGGTCATAGATAGGGTAAGGGTTTTGGGAAGTGGGCCGCACACCCCTACCCAACCTTTCTGGGAGTAGCACCCCCGGGAGCCTATATAGGGGAGTTTACGACAGCGTAGGTTGCACAAATTAAAATTCGCTTCTTTCTACTAAACAAACAAATCCATCCCAGCTGTTTTTGTTTCGACCTACTTCTCAGGAGACAACCTTTTCTTTTAACTTGCAACGTTTTTGTTAGAACCTTATGTTAGAAGTGAGATAAATCTTCTCCTCTATCATTTTACCAAAGGCTTTTTTTCGCCATCATAGTGGCCGACATTTTTAAGGCTATCGACTGACGACCCCAGCTCCTTTAAAGGAGCTACGTCACAGTTTGCGCAACTTCAAAAGCTTCGCCTAAATTTTTCAAGTTCGTCGTTTATAATCCGTGTTAATTTTCTCCATCCTTAACGATCCTTGTCCCTTTATGGTTTATTAGCATCTCTTTGGTGTTTTTCAATCTCAGAAAATTCTTAGAGTGGCTAAGCATGGCGTTTATGGCAAACGACAAAAATAAAACTTTTTACGTCCGTCTTCAGCTGTCTGCACAGTAGAGGGAAAATATTTGTATTTGTTGTGAACAGTAAGAGATATTTTTCTCTTTTTGTCTGATTTATTTAAGGATTAGAAGAAAAGAATAAAGAATCAGAGGTAATCTTTGCCGTTTGCCGTCTGCCGTAATCGTCAGGTTTCCTTTAATATAAAAAGGTAATTTTGTTCCAAAATAACTCAAACTACCGTGAATGAGCTCCTTTACGAAATATAAGACAAGGTTGGAAATGCGACTGTTTAAATTTGGCGCGAAACTATTCTGGAACCCAGTGCTACTCGCTTTTAAAAATCTCCGTTACAAATTTGCATTACAAATGATTCCAAGAGCTCGCGCTAACGTAATTATTATTCATCCCAAGTTCAGTTTGTCGCAGCCTTCGTCGGTTCTTGTTCCCTTTATATCTGAAAAGCAAGAGCAAAATTCCACCATTAAGCTGGTAAAACGGGTACATGAAGTTAATACAAGAGGGCGGACATAATCCTTTGCGAGGCACCGAATTAGACGAAACCATGGCCGGGAGCAACCGTGTATTCGTCCAGAACTGATGGTTTGGTGGAGATGCAAGACACGTGCTGAATAATGGTGGCCAAGTCGAGCGTGTTCTTTCCGAATATCGCTGTTGCTTCTTCGTAGAATGTTTCTCAGGTTGGTAAAATTACAGAAATCACTATTAAATTAGTTCATATTTGTTCTTCTTTAGTTCTCAGTTGTTTAGTTTGTCTCTGCAATGTATATGCTTTCGCTATGGAAGTTGTTCATTTTGCTTAGTGAAGATCTGTACTACTCTTTAATTAGCATAGCCTGCAGGCGCAGAAAAGTTTAGGAGAAGAGCAATCGATAAACCAAAATCCTCACGAGTTAGACAGCTTCGTTCATTTTTTGAAAGAGAGGATAATTGAATCGCTTTGAAGACTTCTTAAGGTCCATAGTTAACATTTAAGTACGCAGCATCGCCTGCAATCGGTGTACAATCCGTTACACTTTTCATACAAGAATATTGTTTTTCCGACCCAGGCTGTACATTCTTGTTTTTCTGTCGATTTTAGGCTTAAAATATTCTTGTAAATATTCTTAGATTATGCTGCGTATGACAAGTGGCAATCACAAGTGTTTGGTGTTTAGATTCCGTTAAAATAAAGTGATTTTGGAACCAGACTGCAGGCAATTTAGCCTGATACTACACACACAGCGTCATGCAGAAATGTTGTTAGCTGTTTTTGTTGTTTTTGGCTAGTTTTGGCACGGTTTAGTTAAAAACCCATTATTGCATTTACAAATCTTTCACGCACAAAATTATATTCTTTTTAAAATTTCAGCCTCTATTTTCTTGAAAAAATATATTCCTATAAAAAAGAGTGTATTTTAGATTATGAACTCTGGAGAGCGTACATTTAGTGTTTATCATTTGAGATAAAAAGCACTGATTTATTACCCGTTCTACCTATCAATCGTCGACTTAAAG